GTGCGTCTGTGGGTGTGGGGAGGGCGGCGAAGCTGCTCTCGGTTACTTCCGCGAAGCCGTTCCAATCAGCTTTGTTAAAGTTGGTGTAGGTTCGGTGATTCGCGGGAGCAAAGTCGGTGGGCTTATTGATCGAGATGATTATGGGCAGATGGTCTGATGCTAACGATAGCATAGGTCGCCATGATATGCTATTTATCAGACCAGCGCTTGCAATTGTTAGGTCTAGCGAGCTGCTGCAGCTGCCCACAATCCTGGTGGGGGCGTCGTCGTTCGTGGTGCAGAATGTCGAATCGTCTATCTGCTCAGCCAAAATGACAGGGGGTATGTACACGTTAAATATTTCGAGCTCGACATCGCCTGACCGGACAGCTATGCCCTGACATTCTAGGGTGGTGTCCCTTGGGTCGATGTCTTCTTCGATTAGCCGATACTGCACTGTGTGGTGTAGAATGAACGCTAATCCTCCACCATTATCTCGCTCGCGATCTTTACGGAGCACATTGTAGGCGGCGCAACCCAACAAAGTTGAGTTGCTGTGCAACTTCGTTTCTTGGACCGCAGCTATCAATATGCCGTGCCGACCCATGAAGACTGCTATCTCCTCAATCTTGCTCTGGAGTCCGTTGCAGTTAAGTTGGAGTACGTTCGTATGCCTTGGGAGGCTGGTCGCGATACGGGGGGTGAGGGAAGTGTGGGGCCTACCGGCCTGTTGCGCATGACGCAGTTGCTGTTGCTGCCTGATGGTAGGTGGCTGCGATGTGGTCGTTGTTGTCTGCGCCGGCGGTGCACTACAGCAAGAGGCGCTGTAGTTGGTAGTCCACTCGCGTGTGGTGCGTAGACCAGAACATAGCCGGAAGTGGCACCAGCCAAGGCATGTGTTGCATTTGACTGATGTCACATTCCGGTATCTTCTGTTCTGGCACACGGAGCAGATGGTGTGGGCAACTAGCAGCTGCTGGTTGGCTCGCGCTCGCGAGTGGGACCGGCCCGTAGGTTGTGTGGGTGGGGGGTGTTGGGAGGTTTGCTGTTGCTCAGGGGAGCTTCTAGGGGCCGTGCAGGCTCTTCGGGTGCTAAGTCGCACCCGTGCATTACGCGAGTGGGTAGCCGTGGAGGCTGATTGTGCCATTTGGCTTGAGCAACAGGGAGCCACAAAGTTTGTGGTCCACTCCCGGTGAGACCTAAGGCCAGAGCAGGTTCTTAGGTGACTCCATCCGTTGCAGGAGTTGCACCTAACCGGAGTCGATTCTGGCAAACACAGCAGAAGTAAGTTTCAGGTCCGGGGTTGGGCTCTACGCCCGCCCGGAGAAGAAGGATGCGGAGCAATCCGGCTGCAAGGTATTGCTCCATGGACGAATAATGATTGGTGGGTATCGCCGATCTAGACGGGGTTAGATCGCCGAAACAACAGCCCTTGGTCGGGTAAAACCCGAGTCATTCCGGTACGTAGAACCGGCTGTCATGGGAATGTTTATGTCGTTAAATGCTGTTGTTGTTCTGTGCACTTTACGGAAACCATGCTGATGCTTCGCTGGGGTCAGGTGGTTCGTGAAATACGGTAGCAGCAAGGCCTCTAGTGTCTTCGCTACCGGGAAAGGAGTGTTATCGGACGATAAGATTCTCCTTTGTTGGCTGGTTTCCCCGGTTTGAGCAGTGGGACCACTCTCCCCACCTTCCAGATGTCTGGGATGATGAGAGTGGCCATTGACATATTATTGAGGGCCTCCGTTAGGTACGCTATTCCTGCAGGGCCCAAATTTTTCAAATCGTCAATATCAGTGCTGTATAAGCTTTATCTCCTATACCACTGATTGTTTAAATACAATATTGTGCGATATAACTTTTGTTTAGGTAGCAAAGCGCATTAAATTGCGTAACCGCTTTACGTACCGATCACACACAACAGTGAAAACCACTTAGATTGGTGCTTTATATGGTATATCTTCCATACCACTGATTTTAAGATATGATTTTTTTTTATATATGTGTGTACATCTATGTACATGTGGCATAGTCGGAGACAGCCCTGCCTTTACTTCTTTTATTCTATATTGCATTTAATTTTTGGACTTATGCCCTGTATGCAGCTCTCAAGAAAACGGTCAAGAAAAATTTGCCATTATTTCGTGCGTGTGTCCAAGGAATTTTGACATTTTTGATACTTCACAGCCTGTTGCCTCACTCTTTCCTCAAGAAATAATAAAACGGGCATATATTTCTGTTGCAAACCTGGGTTGCCTTGTGCTCTTTTTTCGCAAAAAACTTTAGAAAACCGTGGTAGAAAGTGTAGCAATTTCCTTAAGAACTGCGTACTGCCTTAAGGAAATTTGACTCAAGAAAATTTCTTAGCCATTTCTTGTACGTCATTTTATATGGAGTTTTTGCTTTTCTTGAGAGCTGCATACAGGCCTTTAATCATATCTATGAAATTACAAGGTCCTTTAAAATAAATCCTGACGTCAGAGAGAAAAAAATAAAAACGCCACTTGAAATAAAAAAGTAGGTTTTAACCCCTTTTATTTATTATTTATTTTATGGTAGGATAGATAGAAGCAATTTTTTCCATTTAAGTTGTTGGTTTGACGTTTTTTATTTCCATATAGATAGTGGAGCTACAGGATTAAACATTTGGGAATAAAATTAAACACGGTGTCCCTGCGGTATTCCAGAAAAACAATTTTTTTTATCAAAATTTCGAAAAATGGTAAATTTTAATGGAATGATTAAAAAATATATGTAAAAATATGTTATTTTTTATTATATTATTAAATAGTACGGGTTTTTAGCTTTTGAAAAAAGAAATAAAATCCTGCTCATTTTTTGCACTTTTTGAAGTAATGCGTTTTTTGCTCAAGCATAAAATATTTTTTTCATTTTATGTCAGTGCCATCAGATCTGCATGATTCGTTCTATTTTCATAAATGTCATAAAAAGTTTGACTTGTAGACAATAGTTGTTTTTTTTTATTAAAGAGTTGCCACCTGTTAGAAAATTAAATGCAAATTTTTTAATAAGTTAAATGAAATATGAACAGATGCATATCAACCGATGTTGTTGTGTGTTGTGTCCATGTAGAGGGTTGCCACCTGTTAAAAAAATCAAATTTCAATGGAATTAAAGGAATTAGGTTATTGAAATAGATAGGTATCACCATACGGGAGTCAGACGAAAGAGGTTTAAGAAGGTTTTAGCTTGCAAATATTACGAAGAGCCACCTGTTTGTAAAGTCAAATTTAGTTAAACTAAAATAATAATTGTGTCAAACGAAATATTTACGACGTCGTATTTGTTATTTTATTACAAATACATGCAGTGTCAATCAGTGAGTTTTTCTGATTACATTCCTTTTAAATTACTGGACTCCAAAATTAACTGTCCAATTTTTTCTTTTGCCTGATAACCATATTGATATCCTACATATTTCAGTTACCTTATTCCCTTAATTAAAGTGAATTAGATTTTTTAAACATGTGGCAACCCTTCTACGTGTCATTTAAAAGTAAAGCATTTTCAAAACCATTTCAATTGATACCCATATCGTAATATCTTGTTCATTTAACTTATTAAATAGTTTTAATCAAATTTGTAACAGGTGGCAACCCGTTTCAAAAAATAAAACTTTATTGCACATTTACAGGCCAAGCCCTGTCATTTGACACCTCACTTTTTTAAATCCAAAATTTACAGGTCTTCACTAAGCAAATCAACTTCAAAATGTCCAACTGTTAATAGCTAAGTTAACTTTTAGACAATCATGGCTGTTCTTTATCTGTAAAACGGCGTTAAGGTGAAGTCTCTACGATGAGCAGAACCGGAGATATAACAATTTGAAAAAGTACTTAGTCAGAATCACGAAAAAATCCCAACTTTGACAGATCATACATTAGTCCGAAGAAAAAAGAAAAAATGTGAACCAATCGAAATCGTGGCACCAAATTTGGTGTCCGATATGAATAAGAACGCCTCATTAATATGTTATACGTGTTTTAATATAGAATAAAAGTAGTGTTAAAATTGTAATATATTATTAGATCATTTGTAGTGTTGCAATTTTATAATTCTTTTATGCCATTACAGTGTCCCGAATCCCGGTACTAGATGCCTTAATCAAGACGTACACCACAAATTGTAGGACAAGCTCGGCCAAACACGTAGCAATAGTGTTAGCGCTAAAATATTATTAGATATTAAACTAGTGATGATTGGGCGGTCATCAGTGAGCAGGGGCAAGAGGACTAAACAATTGCAATCCGCTAGGATAGGAATTCTAGTAAATTTTCGATACCAAGTCAAAAGTTACTGCTTTTCTACCGCAAAGCAAGTGAATTGACATGATGTCAGAGGTTGAAATAAGTCGTTGCAGCAGGAATCCCCTTTTCTAAATAGAAACATTTTTAGTTAGAAACGTATTTTTAGCGTTAAAGAAAACCGGGACGTAATCTCTACAAATTGTATCCAAAATCTCCGAAAGTATTCCAAGATAACTTTAAATGCAAAAAAATTCAAACTTGTTATGGCCACTTTATGAAAACTTAAGCAATGGGTAACTTTTCTTTCAGGTGCAAAGCTACAACAATCTAGTCGGTACGTCTTTTTTTGTAATTTTCTTCCTTATTAAATAGCTTGTTTTAATTACACTGGTTTACAACAAAAAGTTTCTATGGATGCCACTACCCAATTCCTATGTAGAACTACTCGGTGATTCCGAAAATCAAGATAATTTTTTTTTCTATGGATAACTTTTCAAGAAATTTTGCAATTTACCGTTATTCAGCCTTAAAAAATAGTGGTTTCACTTAAACACGTATATCTTACGAACCAACAAGAATAATCGTAATACGAGATACGGGAAGTGAAAGCAAATAAAATTCTCCATAAACTGTATATACATTACTTTTCGATAGCCCTGATAATTTCTGAGAAATTAATTAATCATTTATGACACCTCTTGTGTTCGATATTCTTCACAAACAATTTGCTTTAAATTCAGCAACTTTACTTACCTTTAACAAGTAACTGCGAGTCCTGTGATATGTGGTCCTCCTCATAGTTTACACGTTGGTTATCATAGCTGTTGCAGCGTGAATCATTCAACGATGTTAATGGGCTCGCCACGCTGGATTTCGAAGTGTGGTGGAGTTGCTGATGATGCGCAACACGAACACGTTTTGTGGCGACTGTGCCCGCTAGCGGCAAGCAACCAATATTATTGGCGATAGCACGCTGTTGGCGCAAGCTAGCATCTGGAGGTGGTTGTTCTTGCGATTGATTTTCTTGGAGCCGTTGAGAGCTACTCGAATCGCTAGTAGTGAGTTTGTTGTCTTGTTCTTGTACTGCGGCGCCATCAATAAAATGGACCTTTGAGGTATTTAACGGTATTGAAACAAAAACGTTATCTGCGTTATTTGAATTTTGATGAGCTAAAATAGCATCATTGTATTGGCGCGACTGTGAAGCCTGGTCGTTCAACGACGTAAAGGTGGGAGCGAACTGCGGCGTCGCCCCAGTCATGTTGCCGGAAGGCGCAGGCGCATGCCACCACTGTAACTTTGCAATGTTGCTTTTATTACTGCCAAACATGTTCGCTGCTATTGGAGCTTCATTTTGAAAATGCTCAGGGAAAGATTTGCTTAAGTTTTGCTCGATGTCTGGTACACCTTTTGTAACGCTAGCGTCATGCGCAGCTGTAGCTGCATCTTGTGCCTTTGTCGTAGCGCGCCGTTTTTCAGCGTATTTAGCCATTATAGAGACAAAATGTTTTGTTTGGGTATTTTCATGCCAAGTGTTTGCTTTAGAAACGGACACAACTGCTTTATCATTTAGCGGATTACTATTGTAGTTATTGTTGTTATTATGAATGGTGATTTTAGTTATAGAATTTAATGGAGGTTCCGTAGCTTGGGCTGTGTCGTCCATATTTACCGAACTTATTTGATAATACATTAAAATGTTGGCGAAGTGTGTATGTTTTGAAAAATGTTATATAACAGTTTTGTTTTAGTACCAGCAAACGAACAATTGTTTTTAAATTATTTAAGTACGAAGCTAAACTATTTTAAGTTAAAGCGGTATTATTGACAACCACATATAATCCTTTTATTACAAAGTTCATTACTTGTATTTTTCTGGTTTTTTCCTTTATTATTGTTTTTTCGATATTTTTGTTTTGTTTTTTTTTTTTTTAGCGTTCGTTCGCTTGATTAATCGCATTTAATGTTAAACGCACTTTAAAGAAATTTTAGACTTTTGAAATGTTTCTTTTTGGTTTCTTTGCCGTGAGTTTCACAGTTATACAGACTCGCGCACCTCTTGTGCTGCCAAAGACAATGTCAGCTTCGACGTTTCTCCACCGCCATTATATTATTGCAGTGCTCATTTGAAAAGTTTACGACGCTTTTGTTGCAACGGTTGCCATTCGAATCGTTCATATCGCAGCCAGCAATGCTACAGCCTATGGGTCTAACATACTTGATAATACAATATGTTGCAAAGCTCGTCATTTTTTTTTATAAATCTTACAAATGTTACGGCACACAAGTAATTTACTTAGGGTACAAATGGGCAAGTATTCGAAAAAACAATAAATCTTATGCATCAAACACCTATATTTCCTTGTAGTACGGATTCAACGGTAAAGAGCTTTAGTTGTTCACTCGTTTAAGTATGGAAATTTTGCTGTTTCCCTTTCTCTGCTATCGCTGGAGTCCTCTTCGCATGCACAAAATTCGGGCCAAAGTATGTTTAGATATTAAAGCAGCAACATATGCGTATTTTCCGACGTTGGGGTCACCTTTTACGCCGTCTATGTGCTTTGACACGGTTTCGTTGCTCCAGTTTCTTCCTCTGTCTGCTTTGTAGTTGGAGCAGTCGAAAAACACTTGTTGTTCGTAAATACGTGGCGGTGAAAAAACCTGGGTAATGCTGCTCCCACGTCAACTGCTTTCTCAAAATTTCATCTATTTCTCTTTGCTCACAGTTTTCTGTGGTCAAGGATTTAAGTTCAATTATTTTTTTCATCAACATGCACAGTGACGTCAGTACGCAGCAATCATCCAAAATTTCTAAATCCAATAGCACAATAGCCCATACGCACCAAAAACACCAACGCAGCAGCTGCTCCTATTTCGTTTGAAATGGTTAAAGCGTTAATTTTAAAAAATTTTGGCGGCGACGTTATTGCTGTTAATAGAAGCGCCGCCGCCACAACATATGTTGCAGCTTCTTTCGCACAATCGACTACTGGTCCTCCTCCTCCGCTGCCTTTCTCGAAGTAAAATTGCTCAATATAGTGCTTTTGTACCCAAAGGCTAAGTAAAATTGTACAAATCACCGCTAAGCCAACTCGTGCTAGGATCCCCGACTTGGTTCTTGCAGCACTAATAATGTAGTGGTTTATTGGCGTAGCACAAATTGTCACTAGTTCGTCTAGCGCCGCCGTCGATAAGGATACTGATGAAGTGCCTGTTGCTGTTGCTGCCACCAGAACTTTTACGTTTGCTGCTGCGACTACACCAACACTCGATCGTCGTTGTCTGCCTCTGAATTGCCGTGTTCGCTCACTTAGATGTCGCACTGAATTCATTACGGTATGTACGCGCGCGGTTTAACTAAAATTACCCGTGGCTATAACACGTCGGGCGAAATGTTAACGGGGAGATTCGGTGAAAAATTGCTATAAACTGCGTTCCGTCTTCTGAAAACGTTAACCTCTGTAACACTTTCTATATTTTTCGCAAAAAAGTAACTTTATTTTGTGCGAATTAATCAAATAGTTATGTTTGATGAAAAAGCATTATTTTAAATTTTTTCTCTTTTGGAGTACACCTATTGACGAACGTTCTCTATTATTTTGTGTAGCACTATTAACGTAAGTACATATAAAATCACTTATTTTACTATCTCTCGTGTATACTTTTATAAAGTATTCTGATATAGTCGAATTGACATTAGTTGTGGTTGGTAAAATTTCGATGGAAAACTCTTGTCGCTTTGATTGGACACAATGGGTTCGTTTAGCTTGTTGTTGTTATAAATGTTTGAAATGCAAGCAAAAGTTTCACAAAAACTATTTGGTTGACTCACAATCACACTGTTTAACTTCATATTCAAACTCGCAAAACAACGATTTCGCGGCAAAATGTCTTAATCGTGGTTTATCACGGCGATTGACTGCGTTTAATTATTTTTTAATTTTGGCGTTACAGATTCATGTAAGTAGGTGTGAATGAAGACCGTTGTAAATCTGAAACAGTAAAAGAATGTAGAGGTTAGGCACGGATGTTTCAAAGATACAGTTTTTGAACAATACAAAAAAAAAAAAAACATTCGAATCCAAGTTATATAAGGAATGTACCGAAATGAAACTACACAATTTAATTCCCTATTTCTCGCTTTGGAGGGCCTACAGTTTTACAACGTCTCCGAATGGTAGATGGTATTTTATGAGAAGGCTTTTAAAGCCAGGAGTACACTCGAAAGGTTTGCCATTGCCTGCGAAGGCGAATAGAAAAAATATTTTAGATATTGATCAGATCGGGAATCGAACCAAGCTGCCCACCAGAAAGTAGAAGAACAAAAGGCCCAAAGGAAAAGAGACTTGAAGCAAAAATGCCTTAATAGAATAGTCGGTTTTACGCACCGGAATGGTACGGGTTTTCCGATCAATGGTTGTTTCGGCAATCTAATCGTTGTGTCACAGTTTTTCACGCGTGAGCGGGAGCGGATTTGAGACAAAAATCACTAACTTCCGTGATCGTGCGTGACTGAAATTTTTGCTGGCGTGAGCTAGATTTCCGTCAATAACGTAATTTTCACATATCGAGCCCTAACCGCCAAAAAGATATATGCGACATTTTTTCAAAATTTTCTTTTTGATGCAGAAATGTTCCTAGAGGATCCATATGCATTTCTGCATCAAAATTAAAATTTGCAAAGATGTCGCCCCATCTTTTGACAGTTGAGTCCAAAAATGTTTTTCGTTAGCAGGTTTTGTATGTAACAAGCAGGGTACGAAAATAAACTGTACAAAACAATTCCCATTTGCTCATCGATCATCATATCATTTGTGGTTTTGTAAATAGTCAGAAACAAATTGTAAGATTCACTGTCATTTTCCCCAACGAGAAACGTTTGCTTTTCGTTTGTGACAATTGTACCATAGGGTACGTTTTATATGTATGCAAACGCTTCAATTACGTGAAAAATAATTTTTTCTGTAAATTTTCATATCCAATTCAATTAGAAAACATTTTTATTTTTTTTATTCATTGCAGCCATTCGTTTTGTATTTGTTTATTGCATATATGTACGTACATAAATATATTTTCCCTGCACGATTCATTTCGTTTGTTGTTTCGTCTGTAACTACTAAACTACTGTAGTGAACTATCGCCAAAGTGAACTCAGCCGTTTTGTTTCGTATTGTACCGAACTGTTAAAGTAATAAACGAAACGAAATAGTAACGTACAATATAGTTTATTTTCGTACACTGGTAACAAGTTCAGGTCAAGATTAGAAGACTCCGCTTGAAATACTTTGCTGCTCTTACGTACACATTTAAGTGCAATAATAACACTGGCTCAAAAAAGAGGTGTGTGCCTCTAACCACACCCACCTACCGACATGTATTTCGACCCGGTGAATCCGAATCTGAGGTCCCGTCCCCTTGACTCGTTCACCCTAAAAATTTCGAGTTAATTGCGAAAAAAAAACCGCCATTTCCGTATGGAGTAGAATAAACATGTTTAGAGAATTTCTTTTTGTAAATTTTTGTTTAATTTTTGGTTTTATTAATCATTACTTTCAAAAGAACCTGGTATTTACATTGTTATTAGCAAGGAACGGATTTTATGGAAATTGCCTTTTTTTTCTGCTAAAGAGATAGAGTATATTCGATTAAGAATGTCCACGATTTAGCTTTCCCTGATTCCGTTTTCTCAGCTAACGTAGGCTTGAGGACAATAAGGGGTGCGGATAAAATTGTAAAGGGCAAAGAAAGCGCCCTTATTTCTGATAATATGAACGTTTCAAACGTTCCATATTTAAATTTGGCTCCACTTGTATCAACTTACGTCGAGCGCACATTTAGTACATTCAAGGCTTTTCTTCGCGAAAATCGAATGAAAATGCTGCCAGAAAACTTCAAAATGCATCTTGTGGTTCAATGTTACTACAACTATACAGATTAAAGTTTTATGAGTTAGAAACTCGAAAAGATAAAATAGTCAAAGATTCAAAGTACAAATTTTTCATATAATGAAAGTAGTTCATAGTTTTTCTCTTTTTACTTGTAATATAAGCATTTCTAAAATAAATATATTTTTTGATTGTTCTTCGTATTTTCTGTATTTTTTTAGTGCCTTATTTTGCTTTTTTTGCAATACCTTTTTTTTGCCTTTTCCTGCCTTTTTCGCTACTTAGTTTTGCCTTTTTTTGCCTTTTTTGCAATACCTAGTGCCTTTGCCTGCCTTTTTCGCTATTTTATTTTGCCTTTTCCAGCCTATTTTTTTACTTTATTTTGCATTTTTTATAGATTTTTAGGTCCTAAAAATCCGTTCCCGGGTTATTAGTGATGCATGCGTTCCTCAATCACATGGTTTTTTAAGTACAATTTAAAAAATGAATTACTGATTTGTCTGATTTAATAAATATGTGTGTTTTACAATCAGTTTACCGTAAATTTTAAATAATTTTATTTTATAGTAAGGGGATTCATCTAAGTGTATAAATTTATCAATCGTATATTTTTGTATGTTTACACACACAGTTATATGAACGCCCCTGGGAAAATAATTGTGTAAACTTTATAAATCAGCTGTCGTGTTGTCAAAAAATTATAAAAAATAATAAAAATGCCGAAATTAAGTGAAAAATCAAAACTGAAAAGTCTTTATAAAGAAATTTGTATAAATGACTTGCTTATGCTGGAGATATTTGGAGAAAATGATGATAGCATTTGTGTTTTCGTTTCTATTGTGGATTTTCTAATCCTGCACTTCCATTGTAGAAAATCAACGAAAGAAAGAAGACGAGGTTTGGGAAGAGTTTACTCTGGCAATGGCCGCATTTGAGGAGTTTAGGTATAGTGTTTCCTTTGTCCATCATTCTGTCCCTAAGTCCCAGCATTTTATACAAGACGTATTGCCAAACTTGGATGAAAAGAGATTCATCCGAATTGCGCGTGTCAGCCGGTCAACATTTAAAGCCATTATTGACTTAATTAAGGACGATGTTGTGTTTAACTGTCCGCGGTCTTGTAAGCAATTTCCCTTAGAAATGCAACTCCTAATTGTTTTATACCGATTGGGTTCGAGAGGTGAGGGAGCCACGGTTAGCAAAATTGCGAGTTTGTTTGGTGTGAGTGATGGTGGAGCAATACAGGTAAAACACAAAATAAAATACATATATAGTATGTATGAATTTGTTTTATCGAACATAATTTATTAAATTTTGATAGAACATGACCAAAAGAATATTCCACGCTATTTTAAAGCTGAGAACAAAATTTGTGTACTGGCCGGACGCTGCTGAGCGTCAAAATTTAGTATCTGAAACTTTTCACGAACTACCCCACTGTGTTGGTGCCAGAATCTACAACAACTCTACTTTGACCACCGAAGCTTCAAATATGCTGACAGGAGCAGAATGGTTGGCAGCTGACAGTGCTTATAAACTAACGAGCACTGTTATAACCCCTTTCAGAGTCACCTCCACGGAATCCAATGCTCAGCAGCGAAGTTCTTTTAACCGAATCTTTAGTCAATTTCGAATAAGGATTGAGCATTGTTTTGGTTTGCGGAAAGAGAGCTTCAGCAGTTTAAAAGAATTAAGAACTCCGATTAAAGATGATTCTTCGGTAAAATTTGCCTGTAGTTGGGTAATGGTGTGTGCGATCTTACACAACATTTTAATAAAGCAGCGAGACGATAACTTCCAAATAAGGGAAGATGTTGAGACTGACGACGATGAAGATGTACCTGAAAGCCAAAACTTTTCTACTACCGAGGGTGAAGCTAAACGTCGGGCGCTGTTAACACTTTTACAAATGTCACCTGTTTAAATACTCATTTATATTTAGGTTGTACTATCGGGTTATATGGTCTAAAATTTTCCGCCTACAATAACAAATATCCCTTATTCGGAAATGCATCAAACCAAAGTACCAGTCTCTTTTATTTCTAAAATATAACACATATTTATAAAAAAAGGTTTCTGCCTATTGAACCAAACCTTTATATCGAAATGTTGTTCGAAGCGCTGGATCCGAATCTGAGGTCCGTTAACTTCCATCATGTCAGGTTCGAGATCACTTGAAGGTTAAATGGCGAAAAACTCGTTGAACAAAACTGAAAATTGTTACACATGGGTTTTCGACTCGTGGACTATTAATTTTCAGGTTTGTTCAATGAATTTTTCCCCATTTGACCCTAAAGTGACTTCGAGCCTGAGATTCAGCGCTTGGAATAACATGTGGATATAAAGGTCCGGTTCAATATGCATACACTTTTTTAAACCTGTGCATTTGATGGAAATGCCCAATTTGAGCAACTTAGTTCAAATTCTTTGGCATTTTACCGTGGTTGCGCATATTGCACATTTCAATCAATTATAGTTCAAAAAAAAAAAAGATACTGATGCTTCGTCTTGATACATTTCCGGATGGGGGGATACAGTGGTCGCCCAGTGTAGCGAATGATATCTAAATTACATTACATTGAACTGTCTTTTTTCAATTTTGATTGAATAAATAGAGTACCACTCATTTTGATAAGTGTTAATTCATTTATTTAAAAAAAAAAAACAATTCATTTATTTAAAAAACAAAAAACAATATATGTAGTACATATATGACATACAGTGTCGGGCATAAAAATAGCTTCCTGGCTCTTTACCAAGGTTTGGCTATTTTCCATTTATTTATTTAATGTTTATTATATTTTTGTAAAAGTATAACTCATTATATAACGAAACCCATGTAAGACAAACTTCAAACTTTGTACAAAGGTTGGCAAAATTCGACAAAGTTTCAAAAATTTCAAACTTTTTAATCAGAATTTGTAGAAAAAAATGCAATTTAATAGCCCATTAAATTTTAGTATAATTATTTGCAAGTGTGAAGTTTCTAAAAAATCCCGTTAATTTTAGAATTTTTTTTTTCTGACGGTGCTATGCATTTTCTCCCATAAAAAGTAAACTTGTAAAAATATCGTGACCCTATTTTTTTTGTCCGACACTGTAGCTAT